TTAGGGTCAGATTTTTCCTAAGGACACATGGCTGGTCACTGGCCCACCAAAAATTGCAACTGCCTGATTCCAAAACCCCACGGAGCAGATGGGGGATGTGTGGGCCATGTGTGGTCTCTCGTGGGCGCTGGGTAACTAGAAATGTGTGTGGCAGCGTTTGGGAGCAAGAGAAGACGGCAGGTCGGCAGCAGAGCACGCCGCTCAATCTCTCCAGTTTCCGAGGATGATGTTCAAACCCAAGATCCGGTAGCCGGTTAGACCGCAGAGCCCATCTCTTGTTACGATGATGGCCGTCTGAGAGCCACAGGTCGTGACTACACCAAAGGAACCTCCCAGCCAGTGCCTGCTATGCGAGGACCCGAATCTGACTCTCCGCTGCAACAGCTTGGATGGGCACTCGGACCCGCTGACGTCCTTCCGGGCATGTCGTTCCTTCCCTACCCCTCTCCCGATGGAAGATCTTTCCTCAGATGAGAGGGATGATAGCTCAAGGGTGCTGGGCCGCAAGGGTCACACCCGATCAGACAGTTTTCAGCCCTCCCGGAGGCAGAGCTCGCCTGGGTCTTGCCATTTCCTGTCACGGACTGAACCAGTATTATTTTTTTTTTTTTTTACATTTGGCAAAACACACACACACGCGCGCGCGCACACACACACACACACACACACGCACTCTCTCCCAGAAACCAAGTTCTTTTCCAGACAGACTTGAACGCAGAGAGAATAAGAAGTAAAAAGCGCAGGGCATCATCAGGCGGGAGGTCGGGGGAGAGGAGAGGGTGGCTGACGGGTCTGACAGGTCCTGACCGCAGGAGGAGGGTATCTGGAAACGGATCGGGGTGAAGGTTTCAGTGTTCTCACCTCAGAGTTCACAGCCAGGTCCCTTCTCAGCTCACTTTAACCACAATTGCAACTTTTCTGTTGCTAAGTGCTAAGCAGGTGGGGGGAGGGGACAGAGGAAGTGAAGCCAGGCCCCAAGGATGCGCCCCCAGTGGGCACGGCCACGACCCCGACCCCGCTGGGAATCAGCTGAGGCGGGAGGCACCGTTCACGCCCCATCCTCCATCCCGGACTCATGTGTGACGTCGATTGTTCTGTATGACGGCCAGGTGCTCTGGAGTGGATTTTCTACTGGAATAACACATTTCAGGGACAGTGGTTTATAGCGACTATTCCAATTGTGGGAGTTCGAACAGCGAGGGCTGCCTCGAGGTTAAACGCCCTCTGAATCTTTAGTGATTCCCAAATATGGTGAATTGAAAACTGCTTTGCAGGGCAAAAGTCTAAAGGGGCCAAAAAGAGGTCAAGCAATTTTTAAGCCTGCCAGTGAAAAACTCCCCACCACAGAGTTTAGAATTTTTTGGTGTTGAATCAATTCGTTGATTTTACTTTGCATTTTCTCATCATCTATATATTTTTTTAATCTGCGCACCCCTCCCCCCCAACAAACACAGTGTTTTTTTATCATCTTATTAAAATGATATACCCGATAACTGCACTCTCCAATATGCTAGCCACTAGCCACACGAGACCATTTAATTATATGAATTAAAGTTAAATTTAAAATTTATATTCTCCATCACACTGGCCACATTTCACAGGCTCAATAGTCACTTCTGGTTAGAGCCTGCCACGTTGGAGAAGGCAGGTTCTGAATATTTCCATCATGACAGAACATTCTATTGAATATTACTGCTTTATAAACAAAGTTTTCACACAGGACAATTGCCAAATACATCTTAATTTGACCTCAAGATGTCAGCCGTCTTTTGTTTTTGGCCTTGACTCATTTCCTAGCATGGCCTTGAACCATGAGAACACAATGGCTTGTTATAAATTCCACAGGGTAATGTAAAATGCGCTCCTTCCCTCAGCCATGACCCTTTCCTTGCTCACGTCTATCTGACTCTCACTTAAGGCCATAGTCCCATCACTTACTAGAGGACTTAGGACACCGAGAAACTGTGCCCCGTAATGGCCACGGGCCAGTGTTCAGAAGGGACAGGAGTGGAGAGACTGGGCCAAGGAAAAATTTTATCAAGGACTATGCCGGGACTTCTCTTCGAATGGCCCAAGGATGAATCAGGAGAAGTAATATTTGTGTCTCCAAACCTAGAGGAATGATACAAAAACAGAAGGACCTTGTCCTCCAGCTGCTGGGGGTGCCACCAGCTGTCAGCTCTTCAGAAATTGGCTTTTGCTGAGGCGAGATGCTCGCCTGTACGTGAGGTCAGGTGTCCTGCGCAGGGGAGGTGTCCAGCCAACGAAGGGCTGATGGGACCGAAGCCCCGCCCACTCTGAAAGTCCAACCAAACTTTAGCTCTACCTGTAGCGTGGGCATTTGTCGTGACTACGCCTCAGTCTAATGCCCTCTGCCTAATCCCGTGTTCTCTCCTTCCCCCTCAAGTGTCCATCATAAGGAGCTACCTGCCCGCTCACCTCCCCTCATCTCAACCAGCTGCATTCCTTGGAACCCAGCCTGTTAAATCTTCACACATACCTGTCACCTATATTGGGAAACATGCTAAGATAATTCACAATATTAATAGGTGAAAAGAAAAAAATCATGGAATTATTTTGATTAACATTAAAAGACATTTTTTACCACTTCCACCTCGATAAAAACCTTTAATGAAATAGGGCTAAACAAAGTGTACTTACTCTTATTTGAAAGTAAACTAATTCATTAAATACCGAAAACCAGCGTCGGTATTAACGACATCAGATGCTCTAAAATTAAAATGAAAAATAAAAGCACAGCATTGGGTCGTTTTTGTAAACGCAACAACCAATGCAATTATGCACGAAAAAGTGAAAAAGGGTATATTTTTGTAAAAACAGGAGGCTAAAATGTCATTACTTCCAACCGAGTCTCTGATAAACATAGAAACTGCAGATAATCAAAAGGCACAGTATGGCTTCTCTCAGGTCCTTCTGTTTCCTCCTCCCTCTGCACAGTCCCCTATCAGAGGTGTCCCCTTGTTCCCGGAGAGTGGGGGTCCCCTCCCAGCGCATCGTACAGGTTCTCGATGTCTCAAAGAATTGAGCGAGACAGCTAAATACAGCAGAAGAGAAAAGCTTTATTAGAAGGGAAAGCACACTTCCCGACGTGGAAGCGAGCCTGAGCAAGAGAAGCCTGGCTCAAAGACCTGGTGACAAAGCCTTTGGGGCTTTTGTCCCTATTCGCTGTGGGCGCTTACTTTTCTTAGAGGAGTGAGCTTCCTTGATTGACAACTAAGATTGCCAGGACGCAGTGATTCATCATTTGCTTTCTGTGCATGTTCATTCCCAGAATTCAATCTCTTATATTGAAATTAATGAACTTCTGGACATGTGCATGATGGCATAATGAGGCTCAGGTAAATTGGGGTCTTTCTTGCGCAGATGCGAGGGACTGGCTGAAACTAGTACCCAATTCTCTGCTCGATTGTTTCTTTCTGTGAGTTACTTTCAGCCCAAAAATGCCTTCTGGCTTGCTGAATTGTGGATGGGTTAGGGAGCACTCTTTCTAGGGTAGGATGACCTCAGTGTCTTTGCAGCAGACCCAGAAACCCCGTAACTAACTTTCCTGCCTAACTCTTTTCTAAGAGCCATGAACCCCTTTATTATTAGTAGTACGACTGTTGAGGGACAGGAGGTCTCTTCTGTATCTGCTGCCTGCTGAGAAGGGTCATTGTCCCTGCCTATTGGGGTTTCATGGAGCTCTTCCCCTCTCTGCCTCAGTCAGGGCGGGGTCTTTTCCCGCTGAAGTGCCACCTCAGTCCCTAGACAAGGAAAAGAAAGATACAAACTTCTTATTTAAATCATATATCTATTAATTTCTATTACTGATTTGCCTATCAAGCAAGTAGAAGGAAACAGCCTTGGTTAATACATTTCTTAAAGAGAAAAAAAGACCTTTGGCCTAAAGTCCCCTCCTCTCAGACTCTAAGGATCCTATCTGGTCTACCACCTTCTGCTAACGATGGGCTCCCGATGACCCTTATCAATCCGAGTCACCAGTTTCGGGGCAATTATCAGGTTTCTGGGCCCCGATGACCCTTATCAATCCGAGTCACCAGTCTTATCAATCCGAGTCACCAGTTTCGGGGCAATTATCAGGTTTCTGGGCCCCGATGACCCTTATCAATCTGAGTCACCAGTTTCGGGGCAATTATCAGGTTTTGAGGGAGAGGGACATTTTCCTAAAGAAAGGAGGGAAGAAAACTGAACTAGGTTTACTAAAAAGATGAAGAACTCTTCAAGGGAAGTCCCTTTCCATTTCCTGCTAAAAGATTAAGAATCGTACCAGGATGTCCCCAAAGCCCTGACTCATGTGCTCTCACCACCCCCAAGGGCATTTGCCTTTAGGACACTCCCAGCCCATTTAGGCACACCGTTGACTGTGAGGACACAGCCTGGGTGGGGGAAGGAACCGAATCCTCCAGCTTCCCCAGCTTCCCTGGCGCCCCCTGTCCCGACAAGAAAAGACTGTGGGTCCACATGAGAGCAAATAACTACCGATCCTATTTTCCCATTCAAACCGTTTATTTTGCTTACGTGGCCGAAAAGAGAATTTCAGACGGACCGTGGCGGGGTTCTCTTAGGGGAGGGATGCGGGGAGGGGTGCGGGGAGGAGGAAGCTGGGTGGAGATTATGGAGGAAGGAGACAGACGTGCGTGTTTGCTTCATTTTCTTTCTCTTCGAGCTGAGCTGGCCATCATAGGTCTGAATGGGGAGCTATCTGTGTCTTTCCTCGGCGAATCAGGTATGCCCGCATTTGGGAAAAGTTCCACGGTGTCGATCTCTAGTTCCCTGGCCATGCTCCGAAAAAAAAAAAAATTTTTTTTTTTAAGAACAAATTTGCCGTATTTTAAGGGCAGCAATTTAGAGCGACTGCCTTTGGCTTAAGTGAAGCCAGTTTACAGGGACCGTGAACTGCCTATAGTTTCGTTTACAGCTTACTGACAAAGAGAATTTCCTTAACAGGAAGCCAATAAAAAGTGCTAACCGGGAAGAATTTGGCAGTTCCCATGTGGCCGGGAGTTTTCTGCCCCTTGTAGCTTTCTGTGCCTGTTGCTTTGGCTGTGCTGCCAGATTTAAGCAAGAGAAAAACGTGTGTGATAAAAATTAATCAGGACTTCTCACTGCATCGGACAGGGGGACGAGGTGGCAGGGCTCCTCCCTGGTGGCTGGTGAGGAATGGGGACGATGTAAGCAATCGAGGGATCAAACGATGTGTATTTCTGGCTTCAAGGAGAGTGTCGGTTTGCAGAGTCACATTCTTAACCCGGTGAGTCCTCTGGCAAGGACTCAAAGTGGAAGGAGGAGTTCGGAGAGGGTGGTAAGAAGCAGAAGGAAGGGAGCGAGGTGAGGAGAGAGAGAAGGAGAGAAGGAGAGAAGCGGGGAGGAGACGGAACCTCAGACACGGGGGAGGTAGGTCCAGAAGGGAAGTGGAGGGAAGTGAAGGTGTGTGACCAGGGACAGCAGGGGAAGAGGGCGGGGCGGTCTTGAGAGGAAGGAAGGGGCCCAGGCAGGGCCCACAAAGCGAAACGCTGCTCCCACCTCGCTGCGTGACTCCGGGAGAGTGACCCGGACACAGTAATTCTCCTCCCCACGTCGCCGGCTCTGTGGGGACACATGAGACGTGGTCGAGAACGAGCTGGGAATGTAAGGGTCTGTCACAATTCAGAACTAGACGATAATCGATTTCCGGTGTTGTCGTTGTTGTTTGATTGGTCTCTGGTCTCTCTGTCCCCCAGGAGCAGCGATGGACCAGAATGAATGCAGTCACTCGGGTAAGAAAGTGACTTCCGGTGAGCACAGCTATTTTGCCTATTTTATATTAAAAGCCTGCTATGCTCTCTAAGCCAAGTGTAAGCTACCAGCTGTTTCTTCATTAGGGAGACTCATGTCACACTGGTCATTCCTGCATTTCCCAAATCCAGCCATTTCACTGGTGGTCACCACCACACCTCTGCCCAGCCAAGGTCAGAGGGGCCATCTCTGGCCTTGGAACAGAGTCAGGTGACTTAATCACCTGGAGGTGGGGTCCACAGTCTTGGCTACACATCTGTGATGCTCAGAAAATTTATCTTCCGGAGGGCCGGAACGGAGCGATTCAGGCAAGCCTTGCACGATGAGATGTGTTTCTAAATCCATCTCGTCCTCCCCCCGCCCCGCCAGGTATGTTTTTCTAGGATCCAACGTGGCGATACACTGCACTCCTAGAGAAATCTAGATGTTTTAAAACCCATAATTCGTTTATTTTATTCGATAATGGGGTTAGCTTCTATTTCGTAAATGCAACCTATTGTAGAAGAAAGTATCTTTTCCTGTAACTTGGGAATAACTCCTTATCCTTGAAAATATTCCATCGGCGTGATGAGTGTAGTAGTAACACAGTAAACTTGCCCTTAACAGGACCACATACGGAGAACCGACACGCCAGGGGATCAGAGCTGAGGATCATCCTGGTGGGAAGAACGGGAACCGGCAGAAGTGCCACCGGGAACAGCATCCTTGGGAAGCAGGCGTTTGTGTCACAGCTGCGGCCCCGGACCCTCACTAAGACCTGCAGTGAGCGTCGGGGACGCTGGGGAGACAGAGAGCTGGTCGTTATTGACACGCCGGACATGTTTTCTGGGAGGGACCCCTCTGATGCCCTATACCAAGAGGTGCAGAGGTGCTACCTGCTCTCAGCCCCGGGACCCCACGTGCTGCTCCTGGTGACGCAAATGGGCCGATTCACCACGCAGGACCAGCAGGCTACGCAGAGGATCAAAGAGATCTTCGGAGAGGATGCCATGAGACATACGATTGTCCTCTTCAGCCACAAGGAAGACCTCGCAGGAGGCTCCTTGACGGATTACATCCATGAGACGGAGAACGAAGCCCTAAGCAAGCTGGTGGCAGCGTGTGGGGGGCGAGCGTGTGCCTTCAATAACCGTGCCGAAGGGAGTGACCGGGGCGACCAAGTGAAGGAGCTAATGGACTTGATCGAGGGCCTGGTGATGGAGAAGAGAGGCGACCACTATACCAACGGGCTGTACAGTCTCGTCACGGGGTCCGGAAGTGGAGCTGAGGGATCAGAGGAAAGGTTAAAGGATTTCAAAGGGAGTCTGATAAAGTTCATGGAAGTTCAGAGACGCGGCACCACCACGGCCAAAGAAAATGGCCTAAAAGGAGCCCTAATGAAAATACTAGTGTGTATTTTATTTTGTATTAGGTTCTTTGTCAAATGGTTAATTCTGTTATTTTGTGTATGGCTCAGGATATGCAATTTCTTTTACTGCTTACTCTGTAGTATGTGCAATTTGTTCTGTAGCTTACTGTTAATTATACTCAAAAAGTTAATGATAATTTCTGGCAAGGCCATTGGTCTCAAATACGACTCCTAAATTATAGTTATGGATCAGTAACGATTTATTCACCTTCAGGCAGTGAGTGAATTACAGAGCCTCCTTAAAACACGCAGTGCCTGACGCCAGCATTTGAAACTCTGCAAAATGTTTAAATCCTAACATCGCTCAATGTATTAAGGAACCGGATTATTTTAAAAGTTACTGTTTGTTTTGAAATCTAATATCAAAACCTTTTGAAAGCTGTAAACATAAAATTCCTCCCATTTGCAAATGCCTAAAGCCAGTTTTATATTCCCGGAGACTCCTTTTATTCTTCAGAATACTACTATTTCTACTGAATAGAATGACGATAATGTCTACTGAATATAATAAAATAATAATAATAAGTAAATTGTGAAGTTATTGGGATAACATGTCTTTAATTTTATTCCATGGTTTTATTCTCAGGAGATGGTGAGACACGTGGCTCATTTCGGTGATGAAACCAGCCATGCCCACTAACCACACATGGGCACACTCACACATCAGTAGTCTGTTTCATGTACATCAAATTTGCTTCACATCAAAAGAGGCTCAGTCAGATTTTACCCCGACCCCAATCACACCGAGCGTTGAAACACAGTTCACTCTTCGGACAAGATGGTGGACTGTGCAGTCTGAAACATCAATCACCCCGTCAAATGCAATTAAAAGCTGAATTTATTAAAATAAACTGAATTTTTATGATTGATGAGCTCACCAGAAAACAAGGAAAGCTGTTGGCCGATAGACAAATGCCGGTATCAACCCCAAGATGGAGGAACTCAGCCTTGGGTTGTCGGTCAAGTTGAAGAGCCGATTGTGAGAGGTCCGTACTGAATTAGCCCTTCCCAGGGAACTGATATTACAAGCTCATTTTTTAACCAAATATATAAGGCTGTTCTGATTTTTTATTTCTTCTTATGCTCATTTTGTTAAGCTGTGGTTTTCAAGGATTTTTTTTTTTCCACTACATTAAAGTCGTTGCACTTACTTGCGCAAACGTGTAAAATCTTTTTTATCATGCCTTTTAATATGGACAGGAAATGTAGTCAACGTTCCTCTTTGAATTTTGATATCAGTGATTTATGATGATTTCTTTTCGGTTGATCAGCCTGGCCAGAGGTTTATCGATTTTATTAAACTTTGCAAAAAACGAACATTTATTTTCTCTATTTTCTCTTTTCCACCTTATTGCGTGTTCTTAACAGTGTCTTTTGCAGAGCAGAAGTTTTTCATTTTAATGAAGTCCATCTTACCAACTTTTCCATTCATAGGTCATACTTTTAGTGGTATATCTAAAAGGTGACCCCCAAACCCAAAGTCATCCAGATTTTCTCCAATGTTATCTTCTAGGAGTTTTACAGTTTTACATTGACTTCTCTGACCCATTTTGGTGAATTTTGAGAATTTTTGTCAAAGGTATAAGATCTGTGTCTAGATTCATTGTGTGTGTGTGTGTGTGTGTGTGTGTGTGTGTGTGTGTGTGTGTGTGTGCGTGTGTCTAGCATCATGTTCCGGCATCATTTGTTGAAAACTATCCTTCCTCCATTGAATTATCTTTGCTCCTTTGTCAAAAAATAATAATGATAATAATAAGTTACATTTAATGTAACAATATCTGTGGTTGGATTTAAGTTCTTGTTCCTGCTTTCTATTTGCCGCATCGTTTTGTCGTTCTTGTTGTGTTGTTTTTTTTTTTCCCATTCTTTGGTGTTGAGTTTTAAAAAAGTTATTCCATTTTATCGCTTTGTTGGCTTTTATTTTTTAGCAGTTGCTCTAGGGAAGAAAGGATTTAGCCATAACTTATTATTCTCTAGCTTGAGTTAACAGTGTACCATTTCAAATGAGATATGAGAACCTGACAAACATGGACTTCTGTTTAATCCCTTCTTTTCCTTTGTGATATTGTCATTTTTTTACGTCTCCAGAGTTAAGAAATTCACAATATGTTATTATTATTTTGCTACCATCGATTTCATTTTTAGGGAACGAAGAAGAATCCAAATAGCAGTTTTTTCCTATTTCCCACATATTTGAAATTTCCAGAAACCTTTTATCCTGTCGATCCACGTTTTTATGTGGTACCATCTCCTTTCAGCGTGAAGAATTTCTTTCCCATTTCTTGTAGTGCGAACTTAGCGAGTTAAAATCTCTCCGGTTTTCATGATCTTAAAATGCCTCTTCTTAATCTTCATTTCTGAAGGGTAGTTTTGCTGAATCAAGAAGTTAGGCTGATCTTTTCTTTTTTCCATCAGCAGTTTAAACACATTCCAGGGTTTTCTGGCTTATTCTGTCTCTGAGACGAAAGTGGTTGTCGTTCTTAAACTGTTCCCCTGTATGGAATGTGTCTTTTTCCCACCTCTGGTTGATTTAAAATTTTTCTCTTTTTCTTTGGTTGTTCAGTAGTTCGACTATGAAGTGCCTGGGTTTGTTTTTCTTTGTACTTTTTACTTGAGGTGGACTAAGATTTTCGGATTTATGAGTTGAAGTTTTTCATCAAAATAATAATATCGTCACGTTTTCTTTCTATCCAGGTCAGTCTTTTCTTGTTCTCCTTGGATTCTAATTATGTTACACTGCTTGCTACTATCCAACCGATCACTGGTGCCACGTTCAGTCTCAACAATTTCTCTTAACCTGTCTACAAGAGCCTTCCTTCAATGTCTAGTATACTGGTAGGTCCATCCAATTATATTGGTTTTAATTCAAATATTTTATTTTCTAGTAGCAGAATCAGTTCTTTTAGAGTTTATATTTCTCTCCCGAAATTTTTCAACTCTTGACTCATTATACTTGTTTTTCTATAAATTTTAACACATTTACAATAGCTATTTTAAAGTCTTTAACTGATAATACCAATGAATGAGTCATCTGTGGTTCTACTTCTACTAACTGCTTAATATTTTGACTATGAGTAATATTTTCTTAATTCTTCATATATCATGTAAATTTGCATTGTATTCCAGACAATAAAACAAAAGTCTGAAATATATGTTTCAAACCCTGGTTTGCTTTATTTCCTGGAGAGGGCAAGTTTATTTAACTGTCTGCTGAACAGAGTGATCACATCATAGGCTCCTACATTTGAGTTGAAATAGGAATGAGCCACCACTCTAACATGATGGGCACATCAGCTCTCTGACAACTCCAGGCTGCCCCGTGCACTCGCCAAGCAAATTCTTGTGGCCAGATAAACCCTCAGACAGAGAGTTGCAAGTGGTTGAAGTAAGGCACCCACCCCATGCATGCCTAGGAACAGTGGATAGCCAGGAGTTATGAAGAGGCACAGAAAGCATATTCATGAAAGGTACATGTTGGGTATCAAAGACTTCATCAAAGCTGATCTTCGTGGCTTAGAGCAGCGTGAGGCTAGGCACCTCACTCTTAAGGAAGCACCCACTATTGGGGTCGTTCATCTTCAGGATTGGCACTTCAGCGACCCTAGGAGTGTGCCTCCTTAAATTTTGTGGCCTGGACACCACGCTCGGCTCCCACTAGTCCTGGTCCTGCTGATCTAGTGGGAGAATGAGAGACTCCCCGAAATGCTGAATGGAAGCAGCGGGAGTGTCAGTCATCCAAGAGACTGTCCCCCAAAAAAGATGGGAAATGGTGGAAGTTGAGACTCTTCCGTACCTGAAAAAATGGGCTGGCAAGAAAGAAACAAAAACAAAGATACCAGGCAGTAAATCAGGGCTCAGGAGAGCCTCCCTCTCCCGTGTGGAGACAGTCAACTCCGGGGCGTTTAATGAGCCAGGAAAGGTCCCATCGCTGGGGAGTGACCTGCCCAGGTCTAGGGCCAGTCCTGTGCACCACACGACTGGCTCTTTCGCTGATCTCACTCTTTTGCTGACCCTCTGGAGAAAAGACAGATTAACTAGAACTGGCGATACCAACACAAGCACCAGACTAATTTGAAAACTGTGGAAAGGCAGTCATACTCCACACGCTAGCTAGCCCTCAAGTCCTTCAATAGCCGGGATGCCTTCCTTTCTTAGAAATGATGAGACTCTGCTTCCAGATGCTTCTGACAGACTGGACCCCAGAGTGGCTCCGGCCACACGAATGGCCAATCGATGGAATGCTAGTGAGAACAGCTACCGTGTCCCTTTTTCTGGGGCAGGAGACTCTCTGGACCGATTTTATAGGGTGGAAAAATCCCTAGAGGGTTAAAAGCAATTGAAAATGAGATTGGTAATCAATTCTCGAGCAGAGTCAGACTTTGGGACAACGAAGCCCTTTCCTTCCTCTGGTAGGACGAGAGATTTGGTATCGGGCCCTGCTGGGATCACCCACCACCTTAGTCAGAGCAGGAGCGAGGTTTCGATGGAGAAGCACCGCAAACCCACACCTCCAGGGGAAGCGTTTAGTTTCTGTTTCTTTAAATCATCACCCCAGGGCCCGCCCCTTCCTGAGCACTAAGGTCCCAGAAGTAGGGACACTTCCCTGGGTCCCTGTGTGCTGGGAGGAACAGCCTGCCGCACGGACAACCGAAGAGGTAGCAGTAGGTCAGGGGCTTCTCTGAGCCAGCGTCACAGCCCGTCTGTCACCCGCTCTGCAGGAAAGGTGAGCTCAGGCATGGGGAGGGAGCCGGCCGGGGAAGCGGAGCTACGAGGAGCCTGAAGGAATGTCATTCTGAGCGTGTCTACTGCCTGAGCCCCTGGTGGCGCTCTTCCTGGCCTCAGCGGTCAAGATCACGCTCCAGGTTTTTAAAGATGTTCTGAGTTTTGAATAGAGTAGGTTCTGAAAAAGCTTTTTTGAGCACCTTCTTTAGCCTGGAGGGCATACGGTCTCACTTACAAGCAAGATCTGTCTCCTTCCACAATCCCTCAGTACAGTAAGAGAAGCGTGTGCCAGAACCACTTCCAGGATCAAAGTACAAGGCATTCGACATTCCCCAAATCGCACATTCAGCAAAGGCAAAAGATACTTCTGTAACCAGTAAGTATTGTAGCCTCAGAGCCAGTGACAGTCTGCATAGATTCAGGACCCTGTTTCTCCCTCCTCACCGTTCTCGGAGGTGGGGAGGCGCAGGCAATCTGAGGTTAGCCAATCAGTCTTCAATTCCTCTCCCTGCATGAGCCCTTACACATCTGCTCCCTAATTCAAGCTTCTCCCACCCCAGGTTCGAGGACACCCCAATTTCCTCAGCTGTACAATTCAGGAGTTTAAATAAATACCTGATTTCCAAACTCTGATTCGTGGACTGGTTGCATCAGAAACATTTGAATCATGAATCAGAATTTCTGAGGATAATCAAAAAACGTACATTTTTAAAAAGCACTTGGATAATTCTGAAAAGCAGCTAGTTTGGGAGGCAACGAACTAGATGGACTTTGAAGCAACAGAGTATTAAGAATACAGGATTCTACA